CGATTGGATAGATTTTGCGTGACCGTGACCTGCAAGTCATCATGACCACGACCCTGCACGGTTTGAAACGGCCGTTAAGACTGAGTCAATCATCACTCTTTTATTCCAGGCCCATTCATAAATGCGGTGTCCTTTTTTTGTTTGAAAAGCATAATAATGTAGGAAAATCTGTAAAAACTTATCTTCTTTGTAAATTTGCAACTCCTTTCAGTTGCTCGGGCTCCGTTTCGAAGTCATAAGGGTCGAAATGCTGAGATTGTACTCTTTCACATCTTTAACCAAAATAGTTGACCAGGGTCGACAAATGTCTCATTTTAGCTCGATCGCATCACAAATATAAAATAAGTTTTTATTAACCCTAACCCACCTCACTCCTCCAAAATCCTCCTGGCGGTTTTAGAGGATTCTAGAGGATTGAGGATGAATGGTGATTGAATCAAATGAGGATTCTGGAGGATTGAGGATGAATGGTGATTGAAGCACAAGAGGATTTTGGAGGATTGAGGATGAATGCATTTTGAGGCAGGACTGTCTGATGATTTTGAAGGATTTGCGTTGGGTTATCCTTCATTTAAACACGAGTGCAAAATTTTGGGATGAGGAGGATTTTGGAGGATTGAGGATGAATGCATTTTGAGGCAGGACTGTCTGACAATTTGAAAAATTTAGGCGGAGTTGCAAAATTTTGGAGGATTTTGGAGGATTGAGGATGGTTGTAAGCAACAAGGGCCTAGGGGGGTAGGGTTAAAGTTCATTCGTGCCGTGAACCCCTCTGACATGTCTGTTAAGAGAAAACCCGAGTACAGAGCATGTATATTCGGGTATTTGCCTCAGCCTATACCAGGGCCCAATTTCATAGCGCTGCTTAACAGCCGACTTTATGCTTACCGAGCCTCCATCTATTTCATAGGGACCGTTAAGCAGTAAGCACAGCAAAAGCACGCTTAACCCCAGAAGAAAACTTTGCTTAAATCAGTGACGCAACAATAGAAATCTCCATGCGCGTGCAACCGTAAGCATGAAATAGTGCTTAAGCAGCAGCAGCATGATTTTCTGCTATAGTAAGCACAACTTTTCTGCTTACTGTTAAGCAGTGCTAGAAATTGGGCCCAGAATTTCAACTCAATCTCAACATTAAATCCCCCTGGAGGAGTTTTATTACTGGTTGACATGGTTGAATGGCCACAATCAGCAGGAAACAATTCTTTAAAAAAATTCTTTGCCAATGCAGATCCTCAACTACACACCGGATTGGCGAGAATTGTTGTCTCCTTGGTTACCAATGATGAAATACCCAAGCCCCACGCGCACAAGCATTGTGGTAAACACTGCAATGATGGAGTGTGCACTGTGCAACTCGGACCCACCGATATGACGCAAGGTAGGCAACCAGTCTTTATTCAGGACAGTGGTTTTAGTTTGTTTGTTTTAGTTTGTTGAAATATTCTGAGAAGTGTTCATGAACGCCCAGGAATGTTCTTAGTTGGGTTAATTAAAACGACAAATATATATATATATATTCTTAGTTGGGCTGTTTTGTTGTCATTTTTTATGTGTGAGCTACCGTACATGTACTGGAATGCTTTGGATTGTCTCGGGTCCGAGCGCCAGATTCCCAAGACTACAATGTAGATTTTGATTCAAGATCCCAATCCAGTTTTGGACCTAGACTATGCAAGAGTAGGTTTTATTATTAACCTTGACCCCCATGGGTATTCTTCAGGTACCCTGCTAAATTATGCAACAATATCCAACTCAACTCAAGTGAGAGCCCTGCTACATGGTACATGTTAAATGCAACAAACTGATTCTGTTGCATTGTGCAGTGAAACCAGTGCATACCAGCCTTGGCACCAAGCAGTTACCCTGCTAAATGCAACAATATCCACTCAACTCAAATGAGAACCCTACTAAATGCAACCAAACTGCAACAGTGGATACTGTCGCATTGTGCAGTGAACCCAGTGCACACCAGCCTTGGCACCAAGCAGTTACCCTGCTAAATGCAACAATATCTAACTCAATTCAAACGAGAACCCTGCTAAATGCAACAAACTGCAATAGTGGATTCTGTTACATTGTGCAGTGAACCCAGTGCACACCAGCCTTGGCACCAAGCAGTTTACCCTGCTAAATGCAACAATATCTAACTCAATTCAAACGAGAACCCTGCTATATGCAACAAACTGCAATAGTGGATTCTGTTGCATTGTGCAGTGAACCCAGTGCACACCAGCCTGGCACCAAGCAGTTACCCTGCTAAATGCAACAATATCTAACTCAATTCAAACGAGAACCCTGCTACATTGTAAATGCAACCAAAAACTGCAACAGTGGATTCTGTTGCATTGTGCAGTGAACCCAGTGCATACTAGCCTTGGCACCAAGCAGTTACACTGCTTATGCAACACACTGCAGCAGTGGATACTCTTGTATCACCTTATGAGCAGTTGCATTGTACCATGCTACAGACAGTGGATACTCTTGTATTGCCTTGGCACTATGATGAGCAGTTACATGTACCATGCTAAATGCAACAAAATTCAACAGTGGATTCTCTTGTATTGCCTTGGCACTATAAGCAGTTACCCTGCTAAATGCAACCAAATGCGACAGTGGATACTCTTGTATGCCTTGGCACTATGATGAGCAGTTACCATGCTAAATGCAACAAGATGCAACAGTGGATACTCTTGTATCGCCTTGGCACTATGAGCAGTTACCCTGCTAAATGCAACCAAATGCGACAGTGGATACTCTTGTATCGCCTTGGCACTATGAGCGGTTACCGTGCTAAATGCAACAAGATGCAACAGTGGATACTCTTGTATCGCCTTGGCACTATGAGCAGTTACCATGCTAAATGCAACAAGAAGTAACAAAAGCACAGTACTTGAGGTGGCTGCTAAATGCAACAGTATGCAACACATTTTTACCTTTGTTTGCTTCCTGTTGCATTAGCAGGGTTTAATGTTGTTGTACATACATGTAAATTTGTTCATATCCAGTTTCCAAATTTGGGTATCCTCCACGTCACCCGCAAGAAAGTCGAAAAGGTCCTGAAGGACCGGTTGCGTGAGCAGCAGAAAATGTACCGCTCGGTGCTCAGCGACAAAGACTGCCGAGCACAGGGGATGATGGACACAGAAGACCAGCTGCCAAGAAGGCAAAGGAAGTGGCCAAAGAGTGGACCTGTCCGTGGTGCGGCTGTGTTTCCAGGCCTACCTTCCAGACGCGGACGGTCACTTCAACCAGCCACTGGCACCGGTCGTGTCTGTGCCCATATATGACAGCAGTAAGTGCCCCCTTTCACTGGAACGTCTTCCTTATTTTTATGTTTTCAAACATTCTTTCCTGATACCCACAAAGCCTCATTTTGAACTCTGTGTGTCTCATTTCCCAGAACGCCTCGCATTATATTATTTCATTTGCTGTTTTCCTTGCAAAATAAAACCTAATCACTTCATGAAATGAGACTTTGAACATGTTGAACCGAAAAATCCCCCTGACTTTTAGTTATTGAACTATTTCCTCTCAAAATTTAAAATCAGTGGGGTGCTGTGGTCCAATGGTTACGGTGTTCGACTCTTGTGCCGTGGCACATGTCCATGGGGTGAATCCTGACGGGGAAACATGGTGATTGTGCTCTTGAGCAATACCATTATGCTTCCTCCTTTGGATGGGACGTAAAGCCGTATGTCTCGCGTGTGTGCACGTTACAGAGCCCAGTAACACTTATCGCTAAGAGAAGGGGTTTGCCCCGGTGTTTCTGGCAGTGGCTGCAATATGCGCCGCAGCAACTTGTAAACCCTTTTATAAAGGTGCTACATGATGGGTCTCACATTTCTCATATATAACTTCATTTATCTGTCTTTAAAAAATAGACATAATTACCAGTGCCTTGAGCACCTAATTGTTGGTATCTACATGTAGGTGCGCTATATAAGACTTTGGTAAAACTATTGTTATTATTATTATTATTAGCACTAAAAAATCCATTGCTTGAAGAGCATGGAATATGCGACTTTAAAGATAAAATACAACATTTGCAACATCAAAAAAACCCAAATGGTAGATGTGCCTTTAATCTACTGTAATCGTCTTTGATCATTCCCCATTGGTCTTCCTTCCTCTAACTCTCATCATTCCAATCTCCCCCAAAAACAGAGGCACCGGGGGCCACCACCCTGAAAATCTGCCGTATGGACAAGAGCTCGGGCTGCGTGACGGGCAACGAAGAGGTCTACTTGCTGTGCGACAAGGTCCAGAAGGAGGACGTTTCAGTCCGGTTCTTTGAGTTGAACGGCAACGGGGACGTGGTCTGGGAGGCGCAGGGGGAATTCGGGCCGACAGATGTCCACAGACAGGTACGATGACCAAAGTTCGGGCAGAAATTAACAAATAATAATAATGCCCCGCTCCTGGGCCCCATGCATGAACAAGAGAGGGCGCTGTTTTACCACTTTGAAGAGCCCAGAGGACGGGACACACCATGTGCGCGTACTGGTTCGTGCGCGTATAGCGCGAGGTACCGGTACGAATGTGAGCAAAGCTATGGCGTCTTTGCGTGAGCATCAGGCGTCGTCAGCGACCTGTTTGAAAGGCCTCACCCATTGGTCTCCCCAACTCTTCCTCTTCTACCGTTGAGGGGGGGTACTTGTGTGCGAAGCCCGCATAGCATATTTTCTACCAAAGTCTCAAACCCTTCACAGTTTATGTATGACCTTATTCATCAAGCAAGGGACCATATTTCTGTAGCAGCTTGACATCAGTGCAGTCTGGTCTGTACTGTCACAGGTACCAATTGTAGTAAAGTGTCTTGCCCAAGAACACAAGCACCATGTCCCACGTCACGGTTTGAACCCATGTTTGTTCACACAAGAGTTGAATATAGTAACCATTGTTCCATAGCGCTTCACATGCTCCACATGTACAAAATCTATGGGGACTTTTGATAGAAGAAAAAAAAGAAAGGAAGAGGAAAAAAATCTGAACGAAAACAAAGGCTTTCAGGATGATATATGGAGATACTGATGATTTCTGGCTTCTTCAGACAGTGTCTGAAAAATCATGGTTTTTTGGGGTTCAGTTTTTTTTTCTGTGTTCTCTTTCTAATCCCAAAATTTGTACAAATTTATGCCAAATGATGGAATTTAGTATTGTGTGATTTACGTAGAAAATTGAGCTCAGTAGATTTCAAGTTTTTTGCTTATTTTGCCAAGTATAATTTTTATTCACTTCAGAGGCCGCCACAGTACTTTTTGTCCATTAATCAGCTTTCTCAAAATCACTAAAAGTGTGTCATTTGATGGAAAAAGAAATATGCAAATTCGTTTTGCTCTCTGCAGTTCGCCATCGTCTTCAAAACTCCCCGCTACAAGGACTGCTACATTCAGAAGCCGGTTTACGTCCAGGTCCAACCTGCAGCGCCGCTCCGATAAGGAAGTGAGCGACCCAAACCATTCACCTATCACCCCCAGCTCACGGGTAAGATCCTGGACAAAACCAGGAACAGATTGTTCGCTTTTGTTGTCAGCCGTGAAGGAAATTCCGGATTGGGACATCCTGGGAAATTCCCTTTTCTCACCTCTGAGCAATAGACTGTTCCAGATTTGGTCATTATAAGCACGCCCACCTTTGGTTGTGTGTACATTTTCTGAACCCACGCATTCAATTACTTCCCCTGCGACTCCTTGTGCAAGCCTGATTGTGTTCGATTTCAAGGGAATATGCCACATTTTCTTGTGCTGTAATTTTCAAAAATGGATGGATTTGGGGGTTAGTATTTTGTAGCAAATGTTGTTACACTGACTTAATTGAAGTTTTGTGTTTTGGCTTGTACCTGTTCATACATGTAGGTGGTGTAATCAATTGCCAAACAAAATGCGGACTAAAATATTGTAAAGTGGGGGCAGTATTTGAAGAAAAAAACCCAGTTTTTTTTTCAACGATGGTCAGCCGAAAGCACACCAGGTGCCAACTTATTTTGGTTTGCTTTCAACCAGTCGTTGAAGTCAAACACATCAAGAATTGAGAGAAATAAACATTTTTTGAAATTTGAATTATTCCTCCGCCAGAAAGTAAACAATAAACCAACCAACCAAACAAACATACAAAATAACATCATATTGATTGGCATTGAAAACATTGTTTTATTTTGTTTGTGGCCTCCGTGGTACCATTTTGTGAATCTCCATGTACATGTCTCTACCCCATAGACAAAGAAAGCATCCTCAGAAAGGAGGAAACATTGTTTTATTTTGTTCTGGCCTCCGTGGTACCATTTTGTGAATCTCCATGTACCATGTCTCTACCCCATAGACAAAGAGAGCATCCTCAGAAAGGAGGAAACATTGTTTTATTTTGTTCAGGCCTCCGTGGTACCATTTTGTGAATCTACACATACCATGTCTCAATCCAATAAACAAAGAGAACATCCTCAGAAAGGAGGAAACATTGTTTTATTTTGTTCAGGCCTCCATGGTACCCTTTATTTAATCTACACGTACCATGTCTCTACCCCATAGACAAAGAGAGCATCCTCAGAAAGAGAAAGAAACCATTGCCGTCATTCCAAGACCACTGCTATGGCGGGGGTGGGGGCAAAGGGGGGTTCGGCGGCACCAGGGGTGGGGGAGGAGGGGGCGGGGGCGGTGGGTAACCCTTTTCCACTGAGACACCCCTCAACATGAACTTTGGCGGTGGGGGCGGTGGCGGGGGACCGGCCAACAGCTACCAAGCGGCAGCGCCCACGGCCAGCCACAATGGGAATATACAGAGAGGTGAGCCCATGTAGACTTGTGTTCTTGTTTCTCGTGACATGTATTAAAATTGATTGATTGATTGATTTTAAAGGCCATGTTGGAACATTTGCAATGACCTGGAAATGTACCTACTGATTCGACCAGAACATCCTAGCTCAAATTGAAGATAGGACTGGTACCAAATACCCTGTGAAATTATTCTGGAGAAAACAATCATTGAAGTTGGTTTTCAGAAAATGTGCCCGCTGGCACATTTTCTACGTGCGTTAGCAATAGAATCCAGTTACGAAACCCCCCAAAAATTGTGCATTTGTTTTCTGTGTTTTTTCTCAAACTGAAGAGCATCCACTGAGCTGAGACTTAAACAATTCTTTTGTTATTCAGTGCACCCTTCTGCAAATGTTGAGCAATTTTATTATTTCAAATGAAAAAAAATGAACAAAATGCAAATGTGATGCGATCAAGCTAAATGAGTCGTTTGTCGACCCCGGTCAATTTTTTTTTATCGTTTTGAAAAGAGCAAAATCTCAGCATTACTGATGTGAAAACGGCATGCTGAATACCATCTTTAGTTCAAATAAATGAAAGTCAGAACACCAAGAGATGTGACGAAGTGATGTGATGAAGTGGCCCTATTTTGGCCTGAACCTCCAAATGAAAGTTCCCGACAAACGACTTGTTTTTAGCTTGATCGCATCGCAAATGGTTCCGTGTACTTTTCTCTGCTTTGCATGGATATTGCAGCATTGAGCTGTACATTTATACTACCTCAGGAGCTGAGATGGTCTTTGGAATGTTTTATAGGCCCAATGAGCAGGGGTACAAATGATGTAGCGCCATGAGCACAATACTGGTACAGTGGAACGCCGCTGTACCGAACACCGCTATACCGAACCTTCGGCTATACCATGTATACCGAACATCATCATGGGCTCTCGGTTTTAATGTACAAAACGTACCGAACATAGTTCTTGAAAAAAGTTAACAGATTAACCAAAAATCTACCGGTTGTACATGTACATGTATTAAACACTATTGGGGCCACTTTTAATTCCCGAACATCAAATGACCAATAGTTACATCGTCTTCCAATGTTGAAGAGCGATAGATGGCTATTACTTCCAAAAGGAATACAAGGGAAAACCATTGCTTAAGTTTCGTGACGACTCCTCGTGCAGCCGCGGGATGTGAGAAATGCCAGTTGACTATTGGTCAAAAGAGGGTACAGTCGGTTCAAAATCGCTATACCGAACGATCGTTATTACGAACACTTTTTCTGTGGATCCCACGATGTTCGTTTATAGCGGCGTTCCACTGTACGTGCTAGCATTTATACGTGACATTTTTATTGTTACAGAACAAGAACACATGAGCATAATGAACCATTTCGTCAGCAGCAGCAGCAGCATCAGCATCAGCAACAACAGCAGCAGCAACAGCAGCAGAACCAGCAAGGGTTAGTCTTCCAGAGCCGGGGGTGTCGGCAAGGACAGCCAGCGAGTGGTCGTGTTGCCGGCCGCGGCAGCTACCGTGTCAAGGAAGCGGTGCAGGATAGTCAACCCGCCGTTGTACCCGCGGTGGACGCTACAGCCATGGATGAGAATGAAGTGGACAGTGATCTTGAAGTGGATTCTGCTCCAGTTGGTAAGGGACCTTGTAGCCAAACCCCACCCCCGTTACGGAAAAAGTTAGCTTGCCGCAAGCTTGTCGCAAGCTTGTATTAAGCTGTTACCTAGATGTTAACAAAAATAACGCCGGCAAAAGGAAAACCCAATTCAAAAAGATGTACCACTTGCTTTTTTTTTAATTTCTGAAACAGAAGAACCGGATGTGGTGTCTCAGCATAAGTTGCGGGATTCCATGAAACCATTCACTGACATCATCGTGGAGAGAACTAAAGATATGGCAGACAGTTGTGTTCAGACAGGTAGGTCTGTTGCTTTGTCAGTCTGTCCATGTGCCTTTTTTTTTAGTGTATTGCAATTCTCTGCCTAAAGTGTAGAGTACATGTATATCATTTGCAGCTATCCAAAAATTAAGTAACGAAATTATAGTCGAAAAGCTTGTTTAATATATACAACAGTTGCTTTCGCTGTAATTTTAGAAATGGATGGATTTTGGGGGTTGGTATTTTATAGCAAATATTGTTACACTGACTTGTTTGAAGTTTTGTGTTCGATATATGCTGGAAAAACGAAGAAAAACAATCGTGGTCTTGTAGTCTGGCTCCTCGACCCCACTTAAGAGGAAAACGGAGCAGTTTATAGACACCAGGGAATTGTAAGATCAGGGAAACAGTCTAGCTGGCTTGTACCTGTTCATGAATGTGTAATTGATTGCAAACAAAATGCGGAACTAAATTGGTAAATTGGGGACAGTGTTTGAAAAAAGCCAGTTTTTACCAATGCTGGTCAGCCGACCAGCATTGGAATTGATACAAAAATACCACCTTTTCTTAAAATTACAGCACACCAGGTGCCATGATTTTACAGGATGCTTTAGACTGTCATTCACTAACAGTCCAGTAAGGTATTTCATAATAATTTGGTAGTTTTGTTTTTGATGTTTGCAAATTATGCACTAAACTCCCTGTGAAATTATTCTTTCTGGCATGCTTTCACTTCAAAGAAAACAATGAAAGAAGGCCATTTCCAAGATAAGTCGAGTTATATGCCTATACATTTTGATATGGGAATGATACCAAAACATTCTGAAAAGAACATTCGTCACTTGAAATGTAATGCTTGTCTTTTTTGGGTAGCTGGTATTCTGAAAACTTCAGTAACAATGGCTTTGGCATGGCTTTTTTAGCTGGTAACTGTTATTAACTATTACAGACGACCTTCCCTTTGACTACGATTCGTTGGCCTGGCGTCTGGCCGAGCGTACCTCCCGAGCCTGCATGACTTTGCCGTCACGGCCGACATCAA